ATTATTTCCTTTCCTGCGTTATGTATTACATATACTCACCTTCCCCATTATCCCCCCGTGCTAATGTCTGAAACAATGTGTTTTTATTACTGCAATATTAAAGGTAAAGCATTAAAAATTTGTGTAATGATCATTTGAAAGAAGATAAATGCAAAAGCGGCTTTACGCTAGGCTACAGCTGGTAAAGATCCACAACGCAGCTGCAAAACAACCCAAAAACATCTGAAGACAAATAGATTGCTGTTAAGTGGCTGAGTCAATAACCTGATCACAAGCAAGTTATTCATTTACTGAAGACAGAACAGAAGGCAGAAAGACTCACAAAGGAGCAACAAGTGAATGCAACTGCAGCAAAGGCCTGGCAGAGCATCAGAAGAGAGGAAACACAGTAGACAGCCTGAGTAATTCTAGTAAAGCTCTTATGAAGTTCCTATGATCCTGAAATGCAGAAAAAGCTGGTTATCTAATCATGTCAGCCTCTCAGTTCACAGCTAATGCAAGTGTAAGATTTTAGTCTTACACCACCCCTTCACCTCCACACTTTATTTTTCATAATCACTCAATCCAAAAAGGCAAATAAATGAAACACACATAAACTAAAACAGTGTCCTATTGACAACGACACAATGTGCACATTGTTATACAAAAAATTATTAAAAAACGCAGCTCCCGAGTGCTACCTCTGCTCTAACTCTGCTTTCACCACAACAAAGCAGCATCAGACTGTCACGCACATGCACAGGAGATGGGGTTTCTCTGTACTGCTCTTAGTTAAACGGCAAGAGATAACATGTTTCTTGAAACTGCGGTTTAGATGACCTGATTTTAAGTCTTTTCTTTTCTTTGCAGGAAGCAGTGCGTACAGTATCTAGAGTACAAAATCAGTAAAGAAGAAAAAAAAGAGAGGAGATGTTCATTTTGAGAACAAAACATCAAATGCAAACTTGCAAATGTCTCATCTTGTGAGCATTTTAACATCAGGAAGGAGTTTCAAGTATGTATGAAGAACACAGACACCTGACATGGATGTTAATGTTGCTGTTTCTGACAGGTAAATGCAGCACTTGTATCTTCTTTAATGTTTTACAAGAATGCTAAAATATTACAGCTATCGAGTGAATCTGTCTCTTTTAGGTGTTCTCTGCAATATGTGGAAAGTGAAGCATCAGCAGCGTCTTATTTGTGCAGTCAAAGGCTCCTCAGTCATTTTTCTTTGTTCATTTCAAAATCCTGACAACCAAACAGTGAGGAGGATCCTGTGGGGTCACGTACAGCCTGCTGCTTTAAAGGCTCGCTTAATTTCTAGCAGTTTACGAACTCTTTTCACAAGATTCCAGTACATCGGAAACACATATCACGATTGTTCTTTGAAAATACACCAGGTGGAGTGTAGTGATGTAGGGAGATACTTTGTCAGATTTAACACCATGTCTAATAGACATGAAGAAAATACCCCGGTACTGAAGGTTGTTGGTAAGTTTTTGTTGCTGCTGTTGTTGTTTTTTTTAAATAAATAAAAGCCTTTAACAGTTAAGATTAAAGTGTCACTTTGCTTTTTCAGATTTGACTATTTTTATGTCAAAACCTTCTGTAAAGGAAGCAATAAGGGAAGGCGACTCTGTAAATCTCACCTGCATGAACAGTTGTGATGGTGGTAAGATTTCATCTGCGTACACCTGGTTTAAGAATGGAGAGCCCCTACACGAAGGAGCAGCTCTTTATTTAAGAAACGTGTCCCCCACAAGCTCTGGAAACTACACTTGTTCTCTAAAAACACACTTAGGATCAACTTCAAGAGTCCTGGGTATAGATGTTGAATGTGAGTATGAGACACAAGATCAGTACTTTAAGGTAAAAAGAAATAATAATGCTGAAATAGTAATGAGTAATGATCTCCTACATTCTGCCTTTTAGCATCTTAAATCTCTTAACTGTTTATAGCATTGAGTAACCTGATAATGGGAAATATCTAAGAAGTATTAGTGAGAAGTAGATCAGTGAATTACACTATTTATACTTTTATATAGTCGTTGAGCTATTACGTCACAGAAATGCACGGGGGCTTTTAATGACTGTCTAATTGGTATGATATTTCTGCTCAAGCTTCTGGGACTTATTTTAAGAATAACACATACGCAAACTAGCTTTAATGTGCACACTAAAATACATTAATTCTGATGTAAATATTCTCATGCAATATTTATTTAGTCCTAATTAAAACTTCAGTCTTTTCTTATTATAAGCTAAACTGCTATTGTTACCTACACATAACAGATCTAAGCTGGATGTGAACCCCGGTCTCTAGCGTGAGAGCCGCGGGCTTTATATGCTGCCATCAGTTCTAGTCACCTACTGCTGACTCATATGGAGTTCAGTAATGTGCAATTACGTCCAAGGATACTTTTTGGATAATTACACAGTTTTTGTGACTTTGTCACTGCACACCAGCACAGTGGGTTTTAAATTAAACAGGCAAGATGTGATCAAAGTCCAGATATTCAGCTTTAAATTAAGAATCTGGAGGTTAGTGTACTTCTAGTGCTTGAAAAATTGGGAAGGTTGCTTCTTGTGTGGTCCTGATAACTGATAACGCCCAAATAATAAAATTAATTTTCAGATGGCCCTAGGAACACCACAGTGCTTGTCCAACCACCTTTGGGGGCAGACCCTGGCAGCGACTTTACCCTGATTTGCAGCAGTCATGCAAACCCCCCCGTGGAGAATTATACGTGGTTCAGAATAGCTGCAGGTGATTCTGTAAATGTTGGACATCAGCCAGTGTTCCACCCTAGGGACAGTGACCAGTATTTATGCAGTGTCACCAACAAACACGGAAGTCAAAACTCTTCTGTTGTCACTTTAAACATTAAAAGTAAGTAGGTTTGAGTGGCTGGTGCTATTGGATGCATTCTGACTCGTATCAATAACCATTAAAAGTTTGCTTGGCTCTGGCATTACTGATTTAAAACAATGAATTTGTTTTACAGAAAACTGGCCAATGTTTTGGGGATACATACTTGTCATTGTAACAGTTGCTGTAGTTCTGATTGTGACCACTTTTATTGCTGTTAGAAGGTGAGTGTTACCTAATTTTGAAATTTCACTAATTTTGTAACACGTCGCCTAAATTCTGTTTATCTTTCAGACTTAACAAAAAGCAAATGAGGTCACCGGTGGAAAGTGGTGAGAGAGAATCGCAGGTGCTACTATTACTGCTGGACAATCATTCATTAATAACAGAAGTTCAAATTTAGAGTTCAGTAGAAAAAAATGAAGATTGTTGTTAATTGTGCGTTGCTTCTTTGTGACTTTATCTAGAACACAGGTCGTGTCAGCAGAGTCTCAATGTGTGATGATAACCAACCACAACATCAGGATCAGAGTGAAGGAGAAACCACTGAAATAATCTACGCGACTGTTTACTTCCACAACAAAAGAAAGCCAAACGCGTGAGATATTTCAACAATATAAGATAAAAATATATTATTTATTGTACTGGAGGAACATGCTAATAGAATGAATTACCTGCAGGGAGCAGCAGAAGAACACCCAAAGTGATGATGTCATTTACAGCACAGTGTGCAGGTAAGACTCAGACAGTATACCACTACTACTAATAATAATGATAGTAATAATAATAATAATATGGGAACTTATGTATCTGTCAGGAGCTATGGACACTTCATTCTGTTACATGCTGTCATGTCTGTATCATTACTTAGACCAGTTTGTGCAGCTTTGAATCACCCACAGAACCAACAGGAGGCAACTGGCCCAATATATGTCTTGCCTAAAAGAAAGCAGCCTCCATATACTGAAGAGGGAGCCTGTTTGTTAAAGGGGTCAAAGTTCTAGTGACTTCACACTGGGTGAACTAGTGAGGAGAGGAACAGTGGCCTGCCCACTCTCCCATACTGCCCATTAATGTCCAAAGATTTGATGTTGGGGTTTGAGATCTTCTGCTTGATTCCAGCTCCAGTTTGAATTCTTTGTCATTCTGTATTATTTATTATTTTAGTATGTTGTGAGTACTGTATTTTATTCATGCATTCCCCCCATTTTTCACTATTGTTAATGCTCTGCATTCTCTTGCCAAGTGTTAGCATTAACTTCGGTGTTTGTCTTGTTTGTTCTCTTTTCTGTTTTACTGGTTTTACTGCTTCCTATCTGTCCTCACCTGATTTCCTGTTGTGTAATCCCTAATCAACCCTCGGTGTGCATGTATATTCCTTTGCTGTGTTGTGTCGGTCTTGTTCAGTTACGTTCCTGATGGCACGCTGTACTGTTCTAGTCTCCTTTGTGCCTTTTGGATGTTGCTATTTGGAGTTCATTTTTAAACCATTTTGTATTGGATTTATTTCCTCCATTAAAGCTCACTTTCTTTTGAACATTATGTCTCCTGCGATTGGGTCTTCAATTACTCAAACAACACAATTTTAGATCTGAGGTAGCAGGTCACAGGGGGAATTTAGAAAGTAAGAGAAGGAGATGATAGAAAGAAGAAGAAGGTGTTTTCACATTACTGTAATGAACTCCAGCGGATAATAGTAATCAGAGGCAATACTGTATTGTCAATATTCCATTAGTATGTGATGTATAATGCAAAGAAAAAGAAAACAGACAAATGAAGTAGGAAAGAAAAGTAAAGAGCAGTGTGTGAATGCTTTTTTAAAAGAACTACAAATTGTTCTTGTTGTCTCTGATTCGACTTAAAGAGACAACAGTGACAAATTCTCAGACGTCCTTAAACTTCAAGAACTCAGCCACTCACCTCGCTATCAATTATAGAAATTCTCTGCAGTTCAGATCGGTTTGTCACCGTGGACATGATCAGTCAGTGCGTTCATCTATCAGTGGACTGACCTCCTTACCCAGGGTAGGAGGCAGGGTCAGAAATAAGTAACCTAATGTGACCCATGTGGCCTATGGATTGTGGTAGGAAGTCAGAAAGACCCACACAGACACAGAAAGAACATAGAAACTCCACACAGAAAAGCCTCAGTGTGGATTTAAAACACGGATCTGTGCACCATGCCACTGCTTGCCTTTACAAGTCATGCATTATAAGATAATGTAAATAAAACACTGTAATGGCACATTACATGCATCAACATCAAACCTAGCAATAATGGCTGTGCACGTGAGTCGTTTCCCATTTTTCCCACAGAGGGGTTCATATTATAAATTTGCTGTGAAATCTGTTCATTGTTGTGTGATATGAGTGTTAGCTGTTAATCAGTGGTGGGCAGTAAAACGTCTGGTGACATGCATGAGATTCAAGAGAATGAATCATTATGTTCCAGCAACATTTAGTTAGAAAAGAAGAGCAGAGAAAAAAACAAACATACCACAGCGCCTCTGATGCTGCTACATGGTTTCATATGCTCTCTTCTAAACCTTAGATGTTGACTGCATCTGTGGTTTGCATGACCAGATGGCACCTACCATGTAGAAAGTAGCGCATAGCAGAGAACGAAGTCACTTTTTCTCTGTACGTTCGTGATAACTTTAAGTGATTCTAAACTTTATGCTTGTGTAACTTAAAAAAGCTCCAACATGCGCACTGAACCCATCACCCTAAAATTGACACTAACACTGGTCTTTGGAGGTAAGTACGACATTTATTTCTTATTTTAAGGGAATTTCAAAATGTTTAAGCAATAGAAAATTAAGATTAATGCTTCTGTTCCAGGTGTTATCTGCAGTAAGTGGAACGTAGACGATCAACAGCCTCATATGTGTGTAGTGAAAGGATCATCTGTTGTCACTCTTTGTCCATTTTCCTATCCTGACAAACACATAGTACAGGAAGTCATGTGGGGACACAATAAAAATATTTTTGCAGGTCCGTTCATTTATCACAGTGGCTCAAATAATAGCTCTTTGCGATTTCAGTATGTTGGTGACAAACGGAATAACTGTTCACTGCAAATACACCAAGTGGAGCACAGTGATGAAGGAAAATATGCCTTTAGATTTATAACCAACTCCACAAATGGCCAATGGACTGGAAAAAGTGGGTCAACACTAAAAATCGTTGGTAAGATTTAATTTTGGTTTTCTTTTTAAAGAATTTCAACTCCCCTTTGCTGTTTAATCTGACAAGGTCGAAACACATGTTATTAATTTCTCTCATAGATTTGAACATTTCCATGACGAAACTCAAAAGACACGAATCAATCCAGGAAGGCGACTCTGTGAATCTTACTTGCACAGACAGATGTGATGTTGGCAACTTCTCATCTGTCTTCACCTGGTTTAAGAATGGAGAATACCTGCAGAATGGATGAGTGCTTCAATTAAGAAACTCTGGAAACTACACTTGTTCTCTAAAAACAGGCACAGGAACAACTTCAGGAGTCCTACATGTTGATGTTGAATGTGAGTATTGTATAGAGATGTTTTAAACCTTACATACTGCTTAGGCCAAATTTGACCCATTTTGACATTTGACCTCCTGAGCAACAATACCAGAGATGTGATTCTTTCAGCTTGAAATTGGATGACTTTTGCAAAAATGACCCAAACTATTACAAAGTTGAAAGTTTTTCTACAGTTCAGCCTTGACTGTTACTGTTCACATCACATTTGCCCAGGTTCCCAGAGATAGGTGCCTGCTGGCTTTTGAATTGAAATGGACTCGTTAAACAGTGAAATAGTAAAACAGCATAGGAATGATCAAATATGAGGTGCATGATGTGATAATTCAGAGGGTCGGTAGATAAAATCTTTGAAATTTACAGAATAAAATGCTTTATAAATGTAAGGTTAAAGTATGAATTGTAGTTAAAAGCATTTTAAATTATTGACTAAATGTTGCAAAATCTAACAGATACACAGTTTCTGCTCTCTAAAACTTCAATTAAGAATGAATGATTCATTTACTAATGCCAAGTGGCTGTTTGTGCATTCAAATAGCCATACTCTGAAGACATATGAGCAGTATGTAAGAGTTAAGCATGGAAACATTGTTGTTTACTCCAAAACATTAAATATTTCCTCACAATTTAGATACCAAAATAATGAATCTGATTTATGTAAGGTGATTTCACTAATGACTTTATTTTAGATGGCCCCAGGAACACATCAGTTTCTGTCACACCATCAACAGAGACCCTGATCTGCCACAGCCATGCAAATCCAGCAGTGGAGAACTATACCTGGTTTAAAATATATAATGATCACATTTCAGCAGCAGGACACCAACGTGAACTACATTTGAAGAAGAATTTTCAGGGCGATCACAACTATTTCTGCATAGCTACAAACAAATACGGGAGTCACAACTCCTCTACAGTGCTGTTAAGGGGCAAAGGTAAATAGATTTATGTTCCAAACACGGTGGCTTGTGCAGATGCAACTTTGCAAAGAAGAGTCTGCCCTTGGCAACTCTTCCAAACAAACCGTACTTGTTCAGTCTTTTTTACTTTAACGTGCAACATCCATGTTTCCTCAGTGTACTGGTGGACAGGCACCAGAGATCAGATTGCTATCTGTACTTCTATTGCTGCACTCCTCATCGTGGTCACTGTTGTTGCCATCAGAAGGTAAAGTGTATTTATATTTGTTACAGCTCACACATGCAACAATAAAGTGATGGAAATCTCTTCTTTCAGACAGTGCACAAAAAGGACAGAGTCACAAGAAAATGAATGATTTTACCCAAGTTATTCGCAAGTTATTTTGTGTCTGACTGAGTACAATTCACCAAGCAGGAAACTTATATATGTGTTCTTTGATGTCTTATTAATTATTGTATCTAGAATACGCACTACTGCAACTATCCCGTGGTTGACATGAGCCAGTCACAAGAGGAAGAAGTCATGCACTCAACGGTCGTTTTTAAAAGCAAAACAAAAGCATGCGTGTGAGCTATCCCT